ACGACCCACTTGCGTTGGATGTTGCGCGCGGAATCGCGCACACGCACGCGGACCTTTTCGTTACGGCCGCGAAACACTCTGGCGCGGCTCCAGAGCAGCCACGTTGCGCCCGTAATTCCCCTGATTCGACGCGACCCGGAATCACTCCGCTAACGTCCACACGTTTCTGTTCATCGCTCCACCAGTGCAAACCTCTTTTCACCCGACGATATTTTTATTACACGCTTTTAGACAGTTTACTCTCGCGGGGATACTGGGACGCTGGGAAAATGAACGTTAACCCTTTAACTCTTGTTTACTCTTGTAATTAATGGACGACAGGTGCGATTTTTGAAAATTATTTTCTCTCAGTTTTTATAGTGTGCTGTGTACTATTGCGGCTGAAGAACGTTAGTTGCAGCGTTGCAAATTAGGGGAAACTTATTTCCATACGCCTAATTAAAAAAATAAATAAATAAAATTGATCGTTTTTGGCGCATCAAGTTGAGAAAAATTTGAACCTTGACCTGTTCGGGACACTGACACACACGCGCGCGTTTCGTTTCTTCCGGAAATTCCAAAATTTGTCACAGAGAAAATACGAAAATCACAATCTCCCTACATGAAAAATTAGATCATTTCTTTCTAAATTTAAAAAAATCCTGCAACAAGAGGTCAAGGGGTTGAACACTGTGCGGGCAAAAATAGAGCGGTCCCTCGAACAACGCGAGGGTTAAGAACGCCTATGCATTTCCCACTGCATTTGCACATACACCGCGTGTCAACTACGAAATCACCTCGGTATTTTCAATTTCCATACATTGTTGTTTTAACAATAAGGAACGAAGTACGTCACGTTTAAATGCCTATTGAGAAACAACGTTTCGCAAATTTTCACTGCTCTACCGTTACCGTACACTCGAACCTCGATGATTTTCTCGGTGAAATATTTCGCACCTTCTCGAATCACCCGGATAAGAACGGAAACAATGATAATGTGGTGTAATTCGATTAGAACGCGTGTTACGATCGCTCGAGTCACCGGTAGCTAGATTGACGAATCCGATTAAAAAAAGGGGGACAACAGTGGTAAGCATAACGACGTGGCCGTCACTCTCCGAATACTTTTTCTCTGATTAATTGCCGGCTGATTTCATCGAGCATTAGCTAGAGCGAGAGTAACACAGACAGATCTCGGCTCGTAAGCTGTTTGACAGCTAGAGTGATAGCGCGCTACTTGGAATCGGCTCGAACGATAGCACGAAAAATTCGCCGCGAGTTCTATTAATAGACGGGTAAGATAGGCTGCTCGCTTTTCCTTCGAGCCTTGAATCTTCACGTTTATGTACTTGTACTGCTCCAAAGAAGACGATGTTCTTTTACGCCGGATAAAACGAGCAGAAATAAAACGGAACTTGTAAGGATATTCAAGAGGCATGTTTAAGGAAGGAATAAATTTGCGTAATTTTTGGTCCATTCTGTATACAGTGGGTTCTTTCTTTTACGCGTGTTTCATTTGACGAGGACACACGTGTACCGGGTTAAAGGATAAACGAAAGTGGATATTTGGCGGAAAGTTCGATCGGAGTGAAATTAATTCTCCAACCGGTGCTCTGGTGTATGTTACAAAGATAGAGAGATTTCAATTTATATCAACTGTTTCAAAGTGTTCACTTGGTTATAATTTTCCCGAGATTTACAAGGATTTTCCAGGCAGCGCACTGGTCAAGAATAAGTACACGCGTTCGGAAATACGATATAGCCACCGCAGGCATCGTATCTCAATCTTATCGAGCCACGAGCAGGATGAATTTCACTGAGAAATTAGATAACCGAACCCCTCGAACCGAAAAATATCACCTTGAATCCCAAACGCGGCTAAATCCTTTTCACCTTCGTTACACTTGGCAAACAATAAGAAAAAAAATCCATTCATCGATATCAATCCTTAAAATACCAACCGGGAGCCACGAGAATTCCACCGATAAAGTAAGCGATAAGTAATCTTCACCGAAAATAGCTGCTCTTATCGAAAATCGCGGCACAGAATACCCAAAATAACAAGCTGAACGATACAAAGTAAGAAATTAGCAAAGGCGGTAGCCGATTTGCTAATAGAGAACGATCCAACTCCGCTACGATGCAATTTTATCATCCATCACCGCGGTGGCGGCGGCGTATCGCGGCCGATCCAATGCCGTTTTCACCGCCGCCGCACTCCACTTCTTTCTTTTTTTTTTTCCTCTTCTAATTTTTATTTCCATCCCCCCTTTTCCCCTCGTCGCCGTCGGTAAGATCTCTAACTACTGTTCCTTGTACACGAGGCAGTGTATCGCGTTACCAGGATCGGCGTGTGTAACATTATAACACGGTTCTGCGCGACTATTTCCCTCTTCCAGTCATAGACCGCAATGTTATTACTACCGTGGCGAGGTAAATACACACGCAGGCACAGACACGTGTGATTTCGCAGTTTCCATCGGGTACAAGCGATATTTCATCGCGGGGAATCGAGGCGATAGAGGAAATCGTCGAGCGGTTTTACCGCGCGCGAGCGCGAGCCTGGAAATCGCGTATATAACCGGGCGTTTCACTAAATAATTATTCAACCACGTTGTAAATCAGCCAAGACGCGAGACACGCATATGGTATATGGCGTATCTGTGGAATGGAGCGGGGAGAGCGCGTGCCGCCGGTATAAATTGCTATAATTCTGTAAATTCCATGCAACCCTCCCCTTCTCGCTCTCGCCCGGCAGCAGCAGCTCGGGTGTAATTACAAGCTGACGTTTCTATAAATTCGTATTCGCCGAGGAGTGGTATCGTTACGATTCCATCGGGTTAACGCCTTTCCACCGCGGCTACAATTATGCGGATGGAAACCTACTGATCTTCCTGCTGCCGGATCGTATCTGTGGAATGAACGTTTGGGTTTTACGTGTGCCGCGACTGGATTCGAATTGTGGAGGAGGGATTTATTGAATGGACCAGTTAGAGTGGAACGAGAGGGATGTTTTAGTGGTTTTGGCATTTTTTCGGGGAAGTGTGAATGGAATTGTCGTTTGGCAAAAACGTGGGAGAATAGAGGTCCGAATTCTGGAGGGAATGCATCGATGTATAGTCGGAGGAAGCGATGTAACGAAATCATATTTGGGAATTGATATTTGAAATTTCGGCTTGCAACCTTTCGTTGAAGTCTCAGTCGACCCTTGCTAAAAATTAAACTTCTAAATGCAATCCAATGGAAGAACTGATCTAATGGTTGAGTTCCTTACCTCCCTCGAACTGTTATTTAAGTGCTTTGATTATGTGTACGTCACAGGTGTCACAGCTTGACCAATTTTACAACCTCACTGTATCGCTTTCAACTGTACCTTTTATTTCCATTTAAATCCTCGTTAAGAACGATTGTACAGTCGACGGAAGAAATATAGTGAAATCGTGAAAACAATCAGTTGTCAAACTTTACACCTTCCAGCACAGGGGGTCGGGAACCTGCTGCTCCGGAACCGCATGCGGCTCTCATATGTTTAATAAAAATCTGCTGTTGCCACCACAGAACCGATAGTTACCCCTCCAAAAATAACTACATTGCGTCGGTAAAGTAAATGTTTCGACGCGATTCTTAAATTTAAAATTTAAACTTAAAGTAAAATTGCGGCTCCCTAAATTTTATTCTTTGTACGTTATTTTGTTCAAATGGCTCTTCGGCTCCGAAAGGTTCCCGATAGCTGTTCTAGCACAATAATAAGTGAATCGACAGGAATCTAAGAAGATAAGAATATACCTAAGCTCTAATTCAGTTCCAATAAAAAAAATCGAACCTCTGCGATACTTCATCAGTCAGCACTACCTAAAGCTTCAATTTACAAGCTAGCCATATTTCTTCCAGCGACTATACCTCTCCCAAACTTCATAACACTTTTCGTCTGAATAATCCTGTAGAATCCGAGCGGACGGTGATTCAACCGCTTCTTCTTTTACCATGAATGGCACCGCATTGTTCCGCGCTTCCGTGTAACGCACGCACACGCACGCGCTGCACGTACGACACAGAATTCTGCAGAAGTAGCTATCGTATGTTTTCCCCGCGCACAATGTTCGTGACTGGTTTTATCGCCGCCGGGCCCTTCTCATACCTCGCCGCGCGAAACCTACACGCGTTCATGCTCCTTTCGTACCGATCGCGCGAAAACACGCGTCACTTCGTACGATCGTACGTCCCATTCGCGATTTTCACGCGTACAGATACGACAATTCAGACTATCCTCCAGTTCCATCACCCTAACCTTTCGTCCAGAACTCGCGCAATTGCCCTCACGACTCAACCAGCCGAATGTTGGACTTTTTAAACACGTTCCTGGCCACGTGAGGTGAACAGGCGATATTTCCTCGTGCAGGAAAATTCACAGCGGTTTCCTTACATCGATGAAAATTTTAAAAAATTGCAGATTTTGTCCCTTTAAATCGAGACGGAACGTAAACAATATCCTCGACGAAATCGACTAAAATTTCGCGACGACATTAAACACGCCAATTCCATCGCGTGTCTCCGCTGTTTGCATCTGAATATCAGCGACGTTTGCCCGCGTATCTGCCGCAGCGCACTAAGAGCACCGCGCGCGCTCATTGCGGAGCAGAAACGCGCTCACGTCAAAGCAACTGTGGCCGCAGAAAAGGCGAACGGGCGTGTCTGCAGCTCCATGGCGGACGTGGACCGTGATAACACGTTAAAATAGTGCGCCAACAAACGATAGCACGCATTTAGAATATCTGCCGCAGTGTCGTTCCTCGCCGCGATATTAAATCGCGCGCCTCTATAATTGCACCGATTCAAACCGCCAACACCCTTCTTCTTCTTCTTCGATCCTGTCGTTCGTCGCCGTTTCACGTTCAGACACCGGACAGAAAAGAGCGTACGCGTATGTCACGCGTACACACTTATGTGTGATACCGCGATAACGATCAATTGGAAATTGCCAATCGACGTTTCAGCGGAAAATGACGTTTTTTAAATCTTACCTAAGCAACATGGCAGAGTAACTTCACGGAGATGATCGTCGATGCTTGAACGCTATACTGAGAGCATGCTGCTGCCAATCGGGACTCTTCGCGCTTTCAGCCTGAACTTCTGACAGCCACCTGTAAAACGACGTTGAAAACTCATTTTATCACACCTCTGAATCCTGACGTTTGGTCTTCTAAAGAATCGACGGACAGGAATATGGTGCTGATTGCGACATAGAATTTCTTTCTATAAATAATCGTAGAAGAATGACTAACGCGTACCATTAGTTTACGAGAGTTTACATCTGCCTTGGAGACAGCTTCGCAAGAGGATATATTTAACAGTGTTACAAAACAAGGGATTGAATAATTGCGTTGCGTGCACAGAATTGATCCACAGGATAATCTGGTACACGATCGGGAAACTCGTCACAATCGAACCGTCATAAAAAACTGTCGGTTAATTAAACGGCACACGTGACGACGTTACAAAGCACAGAGGCGAAACGACAGGCGAAACAACTGATATGCTAATTTCTCAATTATCGTTCACGGTACAGTTCTTAATTAACTTCTACCATTCTTCGATACACGTCTATAACCTACCGAACGAAATATTTCCACTTCGAATCGAATTCCACCGCGGTGCAAAACGAGCAACCCAACTCTTAACTTGCTGTAATTACAGAACCACTTAAGAAAAGAAGTAAAAAAAAAAAGAAAAGAGGAAGAGAAAGAGAATTCCAATCGAATTCCTCGTCACGCACATACTTCCAAGTCAATCACAAAAAAGAAAACAGAGACACTGCGTTCTAACGCTACAGCCGTGGAGCATTAGCTATTCACACCGTAATAACTTGAGGCTACCAGGCGCGTTCGCCAAACGATTCCTCGAATAGTCGGGCAACAAAGTGAAAAAAAAAAAAGAAGAAAAAGAACAACGACGACACGTCCCCGTGGTTGTCGTCGTTGTTGATCGTACCAATTGCTCTTTGTTAGTTCGAACGTGTAATTCCCCGTTTAGGTTACTACGTGGAAAACACGGATACACACCTGTGCGCGATGGGCGCGTGTCACGTTCATTTAAGAGCGGTCATGTCGACGTTTCTGCTCGTAAATGTAATCGCGTCAATTAAGGCGACACTCACGGATTTCTAATCGGCCGACCCATGCGAGAGTCGGGGGGATTATGTCACCTGTTGGCACGTCCACGATTTTAATCGATCGATTCACGCGACCGCCCCGAGCAACACCCGCTTCGTTTTCATTCCACTTTTCGTTAGACTTGCTCCTCTTTTTCTCTGTTTTCGTACGAGATACTGCTCTCCTCTCTCCTTTCTCTCTCTCTCTCTCTCTTTCGTGCGCTCGTTTACGTAACACCGCGAATGAGGATCGTGTATTAATTACAGCGGTAGCGGGCAGCTGTAACTGCTGCTGCCGCGTCGCCACACGGCCCTGAGAAAAAGTTGCACTCGATTGCATCTTCGATCTCTGCGATCAACGAGATTACGCTGAGACGAGGCATCCTATCGATCGAGCAGGCTTCGAATTTTTTACGAGTGGACTTCACGGTGTTGAATTTAATTACAAGATTTCTATTCTTATTTTGTCTCAAGGTAGGAATTTGGGGATTTTTCTTTTTAAATTGCAAATGGATTTGACGATGTTCAAGTTACTTGGAAGATTTCTATTCTTATTTTGTCTCAGGGTGAA